TCACAATACAGTATTTACACTAATATCAGCCAAGACAGTGCTCACATGTATCCCCATTGTCAGTTAAAGTGTGTTAAAAAGTTAATTGCTTTGAATTAAGACTAATTTAAAACTAGTTAACTTATACTTTAGATCTAACTCCTAACCCTAAACCCTAATCAAGTAGTTATTATGAAGCAGTACTGTTTGATGTCAACAACAACGAATGAATAGCACACACCAAAAAATCATTTAAATCTTGTGGTTTTGCACTAATTAAACTGCTTTATTTAAATGCTAATTAAAAAAGAAAAATGAAAGGCAACTATGTCTCTATGACTGGGAATAGCTAACATCAATTGCGTATTAAGGATGATTGGACATTTATTTCGTATGCAAGATTATTTCGAGCATTCAAATTAATGTCATGATTAAATTGTACTGCATGCATCTCTGATATTCTGACAATACATTCGTCTTTTGTGCAGGACTATTTGTCAAAATGTACTCTTGTGAGCTTTAAGCCAATTTAGAATGTTGAAACCTCCCCAAATGCATTCTCAAAGTTGTGTTTTGTTTCATTTACATGTTTGAGCAACCCTTTATTATTAGTCAGTCTACATCGCCAAAGTTCAAAATGCTCTGTTCCACTTTGTGATGTCATCGATATAATAACGTTGTTCAGGCCTGGAATAATGTTGTTTCCTCACCACAAACATACCTGGAGTTGTATTTTGTTTCATTCCCTGATGTTTTACACACAAATCCTGCATGTTCAGGCTGAGTTCTTCTCTGAAACAGCATACACTCTGTTCTACCTTGTGATGTCATGTGGTAATACAAGAAGTGCTCCACTGTGTTTTTAAACTTCATACACCTTCACTAGAAGAATTTGGCTAATTTCAGGCCTGGAATTGCTCATCTCTACTGAATAAAAGGTAGCCGTTAACTTGAAAACTACCACTATATGAGATCACCAGGTGAAACAGAGCATTTTGAGCTTTAGAGATGTAGACACTAATAATAAAGAATTACTCACACATGTGTGAATGAAAAAAGACATAACTCCAGATATATCTTTGAGGAGGTAATAATATTATAACACTGCATGAAGCTCACAAGAATAATTTTAGTGTAATATGGGATCTTTAACCTAGCATGTGTCTGTGAAATTCTGATAATACATTTGCCTATTGTGCAGGACTATTTGCTTTGTACGTGTTATACAACAAATCCTCCGCACAGTCACACAGAGCTTGATTGCAGACAGACACTTGACTGGCTAATGGCCGATGTTCACAAACTTAAATTTTAGCAGCTGCTATAGATCAGCGTGATGAGACTTGGCACTTGAGGGGAACAGTGGATTCTTTAGAGCCATTGTTGATTACGTTATTGAACTGCCAGCTTGTGTTGCATGTAAGTAAGTAAATGGCTGATTGACTGTGGTGTTGATTGAGCGCGTCGTGGGCTGACTATTTGAGCGAGTGGGAGCCAGCTTGAGCAGCACACCTGTGAATATCTTTGATCAGAGATTCCCGTCGCTATGTCTGTCCCAGAGGTGATCACGGGGGCCCAGGGGTAGATGCACGTACGCAGGCTGGCTGGGGTGGAAGTCTGGGTGGGGGGAGCCCTGGCTTATGTCTCCAGGTGGGATAAGCATCTGGAGACTGAGGAAAGTGCTCGCTATCACCCTGGTGGCTCTACGCTGACATCTGCTATTCCCAAAAACAAGATTAAATATATATTGGCAGGGAAATACTGGATAGGCACATGTGGATCGTGAAAATTATAATTAAATGATGCATTATGTAACCTTATGTAACATTTCTTGGAGAGTTTGCTACCTGCTTGTTTTTCTTGATGTTCTGCAATACTTAGAAAGTGCTTAAAGGTCTGATATTGCACAAAATTGATTCTTGTGAGCTTTAATCTATGTTATAATGTTGTTACCTCCTCAGCATCCCCAGATTTGTGTTTTGTTTCATTCTCACATGTTTGAGTAACCCTTTATTATTGGTCTGTTCTGGCTACTGTCTACTCAAAAGCCTCTGTTCCACATTGCGATGTCATGCATTGGTAATTTTCAAGTTAACAGCTATCTTTTACCTTCTGTTCACTAGAGACTGGCAATTCCAGGGCCAAAATTATCCAAATAATTCTAGTGAAGATGTCAGGAGTTTAAAACACAGAGTGCATCCATATTTCTACATGACATCACAAGGTGGAACCATGCAAGATATGTGTGTTAAACATGTGTGAATGAAACAAAACTAGATCAAAAATAGTATAATATGGGACATTTGAAACCACTGCTATTGCAAGTCCTGTTACACCAAACTCGGACCTATGCGGGTGCAGGTCCGGGGGAGGTGCTGGACTGTAGCAAGAATCTGCAAGAAGTCTATTTTTGCCTTCTGCCTGGTCAAACCACAGCATAATGTAGTAGTAAGTAACCTGCTCAAAAAATGTGCTGAAGCGAACTAAGGCCAGATAGTTTCACAAACTAATTTTGACAGAAGAACGGTCATGATAATGATTCAATCTCTGTAGCTTACATGTTTCACAAGATCGCTCAGGTAACAAATGTAATAAATTACTTTGAAGGCAAAGATGTAGAAATCCATCCAACGCTTGTTTACATCATCAAAAATGTCCTATTCAACTGCTATCATCATCTTGTCAAAACTTTCTTCCGGTCCCGTGTGCATTATAGCCAAGAGCAAAACCAATCATCAAAGCTCCTCCATTTCACACACTCACAACACACTATTTCTTATGACACATCAAACCTCCCAAATTCTCTCTGAAACCTGTTTTTCCCTATGTTTCCTTATCTAAAAGTGTTCAGATCTGTCAGTATCAGGCCTGAACCAACCGTCACACTACATTTCATACGTGCGTTTATCTCCCATGCAGTGGAGGCGCTTGGCCGGGCAACTCGATCCAATGCTGGCGATGCACTTTTGCTACTCTTCCTCGCTCTGACATGAAAATACTGAACAGGATATAGATTTCACTTTATTAATAAAACATGTATTTCCCTCTGCACTGATGCTATTGTTGTACTACATGGTTAACAGAAAACACGGATATTAAACTCATAGCAATTTGTACTATCCACAAGGGCTGGAAAATCTATTACAGGTATTACAGGGAGATGGTTTTCTTTAATAAAATTGCATTATTTTAAGTCTCTCCCAGTGCTGTGCAACCAAAGGATTTATCTCAGGTCAGCAGACAGCTTTCTGTGTTTTTTCAGATAGGATAATTACATTGTGTGAAGTTAGGCTCTCTCCAAAGGTCTTTAAAAGAAAGTGTGTCCGGGCGTGTGGCTGTGAGGGGCTGCCTTGCCTCCTGGTATTTGCTGTGATGATAAGCACATCAAAGAGCTGCTTCGTTAAAATTCAATCTGATCTGCTTTTAATTAGACTTTACCTTCAAAGTTTTAGAGACTTTTGTGTCTGATTTTGAATAATATGATAATACCAAAATAAAGCAATTGGCTTTTATAGTATGGTTCAAAAGTCTATACATTATATGAAATGGTATGGGTATAACTGTGTATTGAAGAAATATGTAAAGACAAGAAAAAAAACAAACAAACATACAAAGCTAATATCTCTAGCTCTGTTTCAACTGTACAAATTAACTCTCAAATCAGACTTGAATTAAACATTTTATCGCAGTTTCTTTTCTATTGGGTTGGGTTGGGGTTGTCAAAATATTCAATACAAATCAATCCTAAAACTTGAATTAAAACAAGATACCATTAGAAAAGTATTGATACTAATACTACAGTACATTGGACCTTTCCTGGATATTTACAGAATGGTCTTGACCTATATCTAAACTAGAAAACCAGCTGGAAACATTAAAGAAACTACTGTTATTTTGTGTTCTAAATTACATTCTATAAGACCATTTTATCATTGTTGAGTTTTAGTATCATGACAACGCTAGCTCATATACTGTCCTACTGGCCAATATTGTTATGAGACCCCCACACTGGCCGTGCAGTGGTCTGTCGTCCACCAGTTTGTTTGTATCGACCTCATCGCTCCCCTGCTGTGCCGAGTGGACTCTTCCTCCAACTGCATGTTATTTACCAGCCAATTATCTTCAGTCAACCAAAGGACACTTCAATGAGGCTCGCTGGAGTGACTGCACCTGCTACCTGCTGCTAAGTGTGCTTTCACCAACACAAAATGTCACTGTTAAAAGCAATTTGCACTGTGAATATGGTAAGTGGCCTGGCCCTGGACAGCTGTAATTATAAGCTTTATACAGCTGAAAGATGTATAGAAAAATAATAGCAAGAAATGGACAGGCTGAAATGGACCTAAAACTTTCCATTAGTGTGCTGAATAAAACATATTGAAGTTCAAGCCTAGAAATGAAGAATTAGAAAAGTGATAGAATGTAACTTTTTTGGTGGCGGGGGGGTTTGGCACTTGCTTGACTTTATAGATATTATTGTTTAACCTGTTATGCTTTCATATCATTTATTCAGTTCCATCTCCCCACACATTTGACCTGTAACTTGACCTGGTAGCATCACCTGCAGCTTGTCTCAATGAGGTTTAATGTGATGCTGTGGAACATTCTAGGAAAAACAATAATATCTCCATATCTCCATGAAGACAAGCATGTTACTTGAAGTCCCTTCACGTGTCATTGTAGTTAATTTGAAAATCTCAGAAATTACAACATGCATATCCCTTCATTTTTACAGATCTTTAAAAGAGAGCACACGTGTCAGGATCTGATTCATAGTTTAGTGCTTTGTTGATTCTGCTTTTCAGTCTCTGGGTTATTCTTCTTTTCTTTCTTTTTTTACTCATGAGCAGCCACGTTTGTTTTGACACAAAATGATTTCTCAGATTTCAGATTTTTGACAGAATGGTACAGTCTCTTCTTATTTTATTTTATATGTATGGCAAGAGATCTTGAACCAAGTAAACTAGCTAGTCCAAAGTGTGAAATCTAAGTTTATGAAACTGTCTAAGGGAAAAATGTACCTTTATTCCATAAGATGTGCAGGTAGTCCTTATCAATGGGCTGGTTGAGAATAATCAAGCAAATCTTCTGTTTACCTGCAAAGACAACAGAGAAAAATTATAAACACAGCTCAATGATAACTAAGGCACAGAGGGTTCCAAATGACAGAATAGATAATCCTCAGAGAAGCACACAGCCTGCCCAGGGGAATGAGTTAGGCTCAGAATCAGAAAAGGCTAAATTGCCATTGTTAGTGAATGAAATTGACTGACTAGGTGCTTTGGCGATATGGTGCAACATAAAACAGTGAATAATAATAGTAGACAAAAGTATTATTTAGATTGAATGAGCTCAATATATCCTGCCTAATTAAATATCAATCTGACTATTTAAAGGGCCTGTATCACCCAATTTCATTATCTGTTTAATGGTTTCTAAACAAAAACATACCTGGAATTATGTTTTGTTTCATTCACACATGTTTAAAGGTTGTATAGAGGATTTTCCAAGGAACGAGAAATCCAGCGACTGTTTGTCCTTTTTCAAATGTTGCGCATGCGTGAAAACCACCCCCCCCTCCCTACGTAGAAACGCCTTCTCCCGCCTCCTCACTACGCCAGAAACAGGTTTGTTTACAGCCGGTGAGCTGCACATGACTTGTAAACAACTAACTACAGTGTTGGTTAGGCAAGGCGGAGAAGTGAGGAGCGGGGGGAGCGGGTGTGCGGACATTTCGTTCGCGGACGAGAAGTGAGGAGCAGGGAGAAGAGCGGAGCAGGGAGAGAGGGAGAGAGGAGAGAGGAGAGGGAGCGGTGCGCGGAGATTCCGTGCCCGTAGAAGTGAGGAGAAGGGGGAAGAGCGGAACGGGCAGCGGGGACAGGAGTAGGAAAGGGGAGCAGAGAAGGTTGCGCGGAGATTCAGTGCGAATGAACTAGCTACAACACGCAGCAGCAAGCGGACTCTTTCTTTGCCTTGAAAATGACGTTTTCAGACATAGGATATCGCTTTCGTGTCCTGAAAAACGTTTGACTAGCTCTTGGAAATAAAGTACGTTTTCATAATAAGCAGAAGTTACCTGTCCAGGAGTAATTTGGCGACCAATGCGTCAGTCTTTAGACCCTGCGTCTGCTTCAGTCGCGCCATCGCTGGAATGAATCTACAAGAATCACCTTAGTTTGGCTTCGCTGCTTTTCCCCTTGTCTTCTTCTTTCAGCGACCTCAAAAACGGACTTTCTTTTGCGGCTAACTGCTCCTGGATTCTTGTCTGCCATTGCAACAAACTTTGTGCTAACTGCGAGGAAGATATAGGTCAAAAAAAGCCGCTAAGAACTGTTGCATTGGTGGAGTAAACAGCGTCTGTGCGTCTTGCGTCTGTGGACTGCGTGACAGGCGTACGTAAACCACGTACCGGCGGCGCGCAGGCAGGTCAGTTACGCTAGAAACGTAGGGAGTTTGATTGATAGCCTGTCAGCTAACAGATAACGAGGCCGTGTCGTTATCTATTGGCAAATGTTTAGCTGGCCCCACCACGTCCAGAGTTGATGAATTTTATTCTCTTTTTTTTTGGTCATCATAATTACAAGGCTACTGCACCTCTATAATGCTATCATTGACAACTTGAACAAAAAAAACAAAAAAAAAAATCCTCCATACAACCTTTAACACACAAATCCTGCATATTTAGGCTGCGTACTTCTCTCAAATAGAAAACATTCTGTTTCAACTTGTGATGTCATGCAGTAATACGGGAAGAAAAGTTAGCTATTTTTTGTTTAGTTTTTTTCCTCATGACATCACAAGGTGGAACAGAGCATTTTGAGCCTTGGAGATAAAGACATACTACAAATAAAGGATTACTCAAACAAGTGTGAATGAAACAAAACATAACTCCAGGTATGTTTTTGAAGAGGTAAAAAAATGTTAACATGGTTGAAAGCTCACATGAGTAAATTTTGCATAATCCTTTAAAAATAAAGAATCAAGACTAGATGTGTAATTCAGGTACCAAACTAACTCTTGTGTTACTTCCAGCGCCCTTTTGTGTAACTGTTCTATCAAAATCTCTCAGGCTAATTTTAATACATTGACCTTGGACATGTGCAACCGCTACAGTTGGCGACAAAACCACCAAAACCCTTGTGAAAATGACATGGAAAATAACCTGTCATCCTATAGCCCTCATGATCGCACGCCTTTTGTTTTTGCTGTCAGCGGCACCTCTATGCGTCACTGTCAAGCCCGTGTCCCAGGGTGCATCATTTCACAAATCTATTTCGTTCCCTCTTTCAACCCCCCATCCATCTTGCTCTTAGCTTTTCTCTTTTTGCTCGGCTGCTAATGCAAATCCCCTGACTAATACTTTAGAATTGTCATTTTTCTATCTGCGGGAGTTGTGGAAAAAAACATAATGGAAAACTCGGCATTGGCGAAGTAAAAAACACAGCGGCAACAAAAGCCTTAATGGACCAAAGACTAAAGCCGGAGATGCTTTCCTTTCGCCTGCACACGGCAATTTGATTTCATGCTGATTTATCGCTCCTATCTCTATCCTTATGAATGATTGATAATCCATTTCTAAAAGATGTTGGCAAGTCAAAATGGCATACGCTACTTTAAAAACACTTTATAATTCCTTTCCGATGTGCTCCTCTAAACTGTGTTTATGCAAATGTCTAATCAGCATGGTACATTTAAAACAGGCTTGTAGCAGTTCTGACACATTAGAAATATTGTAGGAGGCCAAAAAAGCAACAGCGTGCAGTTCTCCCAGTAATATGTGGTGCATCTTTTGAGGAGGGAAGGAGTTTAGCGAGGCTTGGCGCTGAAAGTGCATAAAATATTGGCCCGCGTGGTGGCGACTTTGTTGCTTCAGCGAGCTTGATGTTGTTAAAAAGTTCACATCACTGGAAGGTCACTTCTAATGTGAAAGTCAACCCCAGCTGCGTGTGGTAAAAGCAAAGGGAGGGAAGAAGGGGACAAGGAGGCGACACAAAGAGAAGGAAAAGAGGGAGCAGGCAAAGGAGGAGGAGATTTGTCAGTCTTGTCTCTTAATTGGCCGGAGGTGTACGCAGAACAAAAGACATAGCCAACCAGCCGTGACTCCTCAGATAGCCCTTTGCCATCTCTCTTCTCACCTGCCCCCACCCCCACCGCCACAACACACAAGCATTAGGTACTCGAGAAGCACGAGCGGCTTTATACTGCATTCCGCTCAAAGAAATGTCACCTTGGGGACTGTGTTTAAAGAGCCAGACAGCAAAAATACCACAAACACGCACTTAGATCCAGAGTCATGGGCAGCGTACAAGTTAGGGGCAACTTAAGCAGAAAATGTGAGTGTTTAAGAGGCCATTGGCACATCTACTGGGAATAATAACTGGTCAGGGAATTACAAGACCATTGATTAATTTGATTCTTAAATTGTCCTTAATCCCTGTACTATCCTGTCTGATAAGATAATCCTTTTATTTCCTCTGATGGGGGAAAGGTGCCTTGGGACAGGGGTCACATGCACCAAGAGCTAGGACGCACAGGGCCTCTGCTGTCCCAGGACATACAGTCATGATAAAGGTAATATCAGGCTGGGGCCCTGCGATGGAGCTATATCTCCAGTTACAACACGTAGATGGATTAAAAGAAGGACAGTTAGACTGTCTAATCAGAGAAATTTAGTTCACATTCCCTGTAAGAAGATAACATCCAGTCCTACTGAAACTAATCAGAAACTTGCTGTGCTCAATGTCAGATCTTTATGTAACAAATCATTTCTAATTCATGATTTTATTTCTTCTTTTAATCTTGACTTTATGTTTTTAACTGAAACATGGCTTGACAAAAACACAGGCCATGCAGTGCTAGTGGAATCAACCCCTCCCAACTTTGAATCTGAAACACGAGCAAATAAAAAGGGTGGAGGAGTGTGTGCATTTTTTAGAGATCATTTGGTTACACACAGGTTGTCATTTGGGTTTTTTTCATCACTTGAGTATGTTTCCTTCAAAATGGAGCTAAAACAATCACCGTCCATACTCTACATCGTCATATACAAACCTCCTCAGCACTGTCAAAGTTTTATTGATGATTTTACTGAGATGCTTTCAGTTGTTTGCACAGACTTTGATGGTTTAGTCATTACAGGTGATTTTAATGTACATGTGGATAATGTGTGTGACAAAAATGCCAAAGAGCTTAGTGTTGTCCTTGAAACTTTTGGTCTGACTCAGCATGTCAGTGAGCCCACTCACAACAGAGGGCACACTCTGGACCTGCTCATTACAAAGGGTGTAAATATTTCAAATGTCAATGTGGTTGATGTTGCTCTGTCTGATCATTTCTGTGTCTTCTTTGACCTGTCTGTTATTCCCAAACCACCGGCTGCTCCTACAGTTGTTCGAAGAAGACACATAAATGATAACACAGGTGCACTGTTCATGGAAATGATACATTTTGAAATTGCCTCATGTTCTAATGTTGATGATGTGTGTTGAACTCTGTGACTTTGAGTGTTTTGAATGTTCTGGATGCCATCGCTCCGATAAAGGTTAAAATGGTTAAAGATAGGCAAAAAGCTCCGTGGAGGAATGATGACTCAGTCAGGGCACAGAAAAGGGAGTGCCGGAAGGCTGAGCGGAAATGGCGCAAGTCAAACCTCCAGGTTCATTATGAGATTTACAGAGGAACAATGCATATGTACAACTACACTTTGAGTAAAACAAAAGAGAAGTATTTTTTGGACATTATTGGTAATTGCAGTAACAGCTCTCGTGTCCTGTTTGCAAAAGTGAACAGATTAACAAACCCTCCAGCTCAACTGCCACTAGAACTAATTTCCACATCTAAATGTAATGAGTTTGCAGTTTTCTTTAATGACAAAGTTCAGGGTATCAAAAAATGCCATCAATTCCACAACACAAATAACAAGCATGCAGCCACAGAGACACTTAGAGCTGAATCACTTTGCACCTGTAACTGACAAAACTGTTTTAGAGATCGTTATCAGTCTGAGTTCATCTACTTGCTGCCTGGACATGTTACCCACTAGATTTCTAAAGTCTGTCCTCAACAGTTTACTTTCACCACTCACTCACATAGTTAA